CCCCCCCCAACGCCAGAAAGCCACCGTTTGATCCGACCTGGCGACGATGGGTTCACAAAGCAAAGACCAGAAGGAACTGACGGTGCTCGTCACCGGATTCGGCGTACGTAACAACCCCTTTGCCATCCCAAAACAGGCCTCTACACAGCATCTTGGTTGGCGGACGGGAGCTAACGCGCGCGTGGCAGCCCTTCCGGGAGCAATACCCCCTCAACCCGTCGTGGGAAATCGCCAAAGGCCTCCCGTCGCACCTCGCGCCGCTTCGAGCCAAGGACGCCGGCTCCCGAGACGCCCCCGAAACACCGCCCGTCCGCATCATCGTCCACCCCGAGCCGATTCGGGTCAACTACAAGGTGGTGCGGGATCTGGTGCCCTCCTTCTGGGACACCGCGTACCAGGGCCACGGCGTCGACGTGGCAATCCACGTTGGCATGGCCGGGCCCCGGCCCTTCTACCAGATCGAGCGCCGGGCTCACAGGAGGGGGTACAGGTCGCTCGACGTGGACGGTGAGCTGCCGGCGGACGGGCCCGAGGGAAGGCCCGACGACGAGGATTGGATCTGGCACGGCCTGCCGGACGAGATCCTGACCGACATTGACGTGGATGATGTCTACAAGCGGTGGCAGGCACACAGCCCGGTACGTTTACGCGGTCCTTTTTTTTGGCGGGGGGGAGTGTTTTGTTTCTTTGCATGTTTGGGAGGGGGGGCTAACAAGCTTGCAGAAGGACATGGACCTGCGCATCTCGGAGGACCCCGGCCGCTACCTCTGCGACTTCATCTACTACTCCTCCCTGGCGCACCTGTACAAGGAGAGGCGCCCGCGCAAGGTTGTGTTCCTGCACGTCCCGTCCGACGCGTCGGGCGCGTTCGTCACGCAGGGCCGCGAGCTGGCGGTCAACCTCATCAGGGCGCTGGTGGAGAGCGAGACGGCCGCCAAGGAGAAACCGCTCTGAGAGCCGCAGCGGAAACCGGTGCGGTGGGATAAGCCCCGAGTATTGGTCCATCTGGGGGGGAACATTGACAAGTTGCGCGGCTTGCTGCCTTTTTTGTGTTTCAGGGCGCTGGTATTAAGCATGGCGGAATGGTGGGAAGGATTTCTTTAGCACAGACCTCTTTTAGTTTGAATATTGCTTCTGTTTTCAACACGCTGCGTGCTTCAACGCGATGCGTCTTTAATCCCCGAATCTCCACTGTGCCTTGTTTGCAACCGTGCAACTGCGGCAACCTCCCTCGGAGCCATGTACGGCCGCCGGCTCTCCTCCTGCCCAATGCCGTCAAACGGCGAAGAGTGGGGCCCACTAATCGGCGACCTCCCGGCCCGTGGAAGCCACATCGGCGAAGAAGAGAAAAAAAAAAAAAAAACCCAACCCAAGCCGG